GAATGAGCAATGCGCTGCCGCCTGCTTCCCGAGGCGTTTTCTGCACTATCGACATTGGGACGCCAAGCCAGTGGCTCTGTGTGTGCGCTAGGTCGTGCCGCACTTTCGCTGAAAGCTGTCCGACTTGATCAAAGCCTTCTGTCAGCGAAAGGCCTTCTGTCAGCGAAGGTCATCCTTGCACGTCACCGATCGTTGCGATAAATGCTGCTTGAATGGCTTTTGTGGCATCAGGAAGAGTAGCAGAATGAGATTAGAAGAAGAAGCTGTTGCAATTTCTGTCTCTGACGACGCCCGATTTGCACGCAAGTAAGCCAACGCAGCGGATATTTAGACGTTATTTAAACACCAGGGCCGCCGAAAAATAAATAGAACTTGCAATAATGGTCATAAATATTATTACATAATTTATGAGCTGTGAAAGTAGAAATTATTATTTATGACCGCAAATTACTATTTTTAACGCATAATTTATGATAAGGTACTATTCATACTTAGCCTCAACATATTTTGTCCTTGGAGAAAGGACCAAAATTTGGTCAGTATTTGCCGCCTTCTGAGGGATTTTGTCTTTTTGGAGGACAAAATTAATCGTACTTAAGACGTTTTTGACTCTTGCTGAAGGGAAACTTTAACCGCACTCTTGGCGCGCGCGCGCGGAACTAGCGCAGCTACAGGACCCTTAACGCTACAAGAAGATGCTTGAGAGCGACTCATCTAGCAGATCTTCGTCTGATAGCGACAAGAACAACGCTACTGAGGCAAAGGGATGGCGAGACGTGGAGAGCTGCGAAGTGCAGCTGCGAGTGAACGATGTTTAGAACACGCTGCTGAGCAAGTCTCGTACTGAAGCGGACGCGGTTTTAGCTCGTCTTCGACGGCGCATGTTTGGAGCATCGTTGTCTGGGCTTGCTAGTGTCGGTGATCTAGTAAGCGCGTGGATGGATATATCCATACTATCTGCAATCAAGAGCGTCGTGAATACAAGCATGGAGCAGGAGTCGCATGTGTGCGTGAAAGAGTTGCTGCCGTTTGTGGAGGTGGAGCTTTAAATGAGTTACTATGCCGTCACGCTGACATTCTTCTACCACCGAGACAGTCGTGATTACTTTTCCCCAACACAAAGCGCGTTGCCGCAAACGCGATACATGGCAATATTGAATGTGTTGGGGCCGCAAAGAACTCGTAGTGATGGTATGACAGAGCAATGGACCGCTCCGATGAGTCCTGATAGAGATACTTCTCACGTGGCTGGACTTATTAGACAGTTGTGTGGAGAAATCGGATTCGTAGAAGGCACATCTATTGCCTCGCTTGATGACGATTTGATTCGCCTTCGGTCTCACTTGGTTGATGACATGGCGCTGGCACATGTTCGAAACCCAAAGAAGGGGTAAGCACATTATACCGGGGTTGATCTATGATGAATCTGTGCCAATTTCATCCTTTTCCTCACGTGATTTAGGTCACTGTATCGAGTTCGATACCTTGGCACAGAATTTAGACTTGTGGAGAGCTCTCGTACGGATGATAGATGTAAAAGGGTGTACGTTGCCACCTGCAAAGCATATCCTACCAACCTTTGTTTGCATACTGGAATCGGATTTAGGGAGGTATCGACGTTTATTCTCGATATCTTAAAAACGCCAAGGCTTGTCGTTCATCACTGCCGCCGACGGCTGCAATTTGGTTACGAATGCTCATGACACTTGTATATAATGCGTACCAGTCGCACCAGCTCTTTCAGGTAATGTGAGCTTTACAATTCTTTTCTTGATTCCTTTTCAAAATAGTGTATGCACGACTAGGCGGAAAACTACCTGCACGACAACACGAGATGTTTGTCGTATACCTCGTACCAAAGCTACAAACAGAATCTCTCCAGCTTTAAAGATTTTTGCCGTGATGCAGCTCTCTCCCTCGGAACCCGCACCACCACCGACACGACGCGCGTTCTGCGATTACTGGAAAATCTTCCGGGAGATGACGAAAATGATACGCATGAGCTGTGGTCGGGGCAAGGTTTTGCTTACAAAAGAGAGATCACTACGATAGGGATCCGGGGTGGATAAATCGACGGCTATCAGGGCGATTGAAACACGACCACGTAAGGCTTTTTGATCTGGTAATATTTTGATATATGCACGCTCTAACCCGTGGACTTCTTACCAGATATTAATTGAAGGTGAATTATGCTGTGTTCTATGCTGCCAGCTGAAGCACGACCAAGAAAATGCCGGCCATGTTCGGAAAGGTTTTAAAACGCGGTGTGAGTGCAGCGACTGTGGCGTTGCTCTGTGTCGTACCGAGCACTGGGTCGGTCAACCGTCGTGCTAACACCAGATTTCACACTGATCAAGAGTTACCAAAGCCGTGTGAAGCGCCCGAGCAGCTTCTTCCGAGTACAAGACAAAACTCGCGGGTTAGAACCGCTGCATATATCGGTACGCTAAGCTATGATACTTTCTTTTTATAATATTTTCTAACTAATACTAATACACGTAGCTACTCGAGCAAACATCGTTCACAGCCCAGACTTTGAGTCGGGGTGCGTCCGTGTGCTCAAAGGAAATGGAGCCCGCTCACCGCGTCGGAGAAACGGGTTATTCGTCCTTTTCTCCAAGTGGACCGTGCCCCGGACAACAATGGTGAAGAAGTCGAGACGGACTCGCTTGTGCAGCGGCTCGAGGAGCGGCGCCGTCTTGAAGCACAAGAAGTCGGTACTGC